TTGATCCCTAGAAGAGGGCGTACTGGTTCTCTCTCATTGTGGATGTCTCTCTCTCTCTCTCTCTCTCTCTCTCTCTCTCTCTCTCTCTCTCTCTCCTCTCTCTCTCTCTCCCTTTCTCTCTGAAATAAACAAACATGTATTTTTAAAGAAATGTGCATGTCCCCCTGGAGCCCTCAGGGGCATGCGTGCTGGATGAACAGAGGGCTTTTAATCTTTTGTTGGGATATGGGGTAAGGTGTTTCTTTACATGGCATTGTGCCTATGCCTGTGCATTCTACTCCTCCAATGCAGGGAGCTTACAGGCACTCATTGTCCAGAGTGTGACATATTCATAGCGAAAAATGGCTGATTATATAATCATGTATTTATTTAAAAAAAATATATTTTATTGATATTTTTACAGAGAAGAAGGGAGAGGGACAGAAAGTTAGAAACATCGATGGGAGAGAAACATCGATCATCTGCCTCTTGCACACCCCCTACTGAGGATGTGCCCGCAGCCAAGGTACATGCCCTTGACCGGAATCGAACCTGGGACCCTTGAGTCCGAAGGCCGATGCTCTATCCACTGAGCCACACCGGTCAGGGCTAACCATGCATTTCTGTGAGACAGGGGTGGACAGACTTTTCCTCCTCCCCCTTTTCCTTCAGGTGTAAACCATTCTCGGTCTGGATGGGGCCCGCGGGCCGCAGTTTGCAGGCCGCGCTGTAGCTTGTGATTCAGGCCATGCACAGCAGCGATCCCCTGAGCCTCCCTCTACCTCTCTCTGCCCTCTGCTTTCCGGCGGGGCCTCTCGCATTCTGTCTGCCCCTTTGAAATGGAAGGCGCATCCCCGCACCTCTGGGCCTCCGGGGGCAGAGGCCTCGCACAGACCCTCGCCCTTCCTTCTTCTGTCCCTGTCCCCTGTCCCCCATGCCTGCGCTGGGCTGGGCCTAGGCCAACATTCCCCCAGCTCTGAACCGGCAATTACCAGTCTGACCCTGGGATGGCCCCATCCCCTCCGTTTGATCAATGCCGACCTGGGTGGACGGTCCCCCCGGGCAGAGGTGTGCGGTTAATGGTGACTCAGGTGCCCAGGAAGCAGGGCGTGGGCTGGGAGGGGGCCGAGGGGGAGGAGAGCTCCACCCTGGGCTGGGAGTCTCCGTGGGACTCGGTTGTCCCCCTGACCTGCTCTGGAATTCGGATAGTGCCTCCTCCTGGCGCCCGGGGGCGGGGCCTTCAGGGGTGATCCCAGGTGTGCGCTGTGGGCCCAGGTGTGCCCTGTGGGCCCAGGTGTGCGCTGTGAGCCCGGGTGTGCGCTGTGAGCCCGGGTGTGCACTGTGTGCACGGTGAGCCCGGGTGTGCGCTGTGGGCCCAGGTGTGTGCTGTGAGCCCGGGTGTGCGCTGTGTGTGCTGTGGGCCCGGGTGTGTGCTGTGGGCCCGGGTGTGCGCTGTGTGTGCTGTGGGCCCAGGTGTGCCCTGTGGGCCCAGGTGTGCGCTGTGAGCCCGGGTGTGCCCTGTGGGCCCAGGTGTGTGCTGTGGGCCCGGGTGTGCACTGTGGGCCCGGGTGTGCACTGTGGGCCCAGGTGTGCGCTGTGTGCACTGTGAGCCGGGTGTGCGCTGTGGGCCCAGGTGTGCTCTGTGAGCCCAGTTGTGTGCTGTGAGCCAGGTGTGAGCTGTGAGAGTGGGCCTAGGGGTGGGGCCTTAAAGAGGGTGAGCCCAGATGTGTGCTGTGGGGGCGGGGGGGGGGGCTCTGGCACAGTCTCAGGAGACCCCGCATGCTCCCCCCCGCCCCCTGCACTCTCTGAGAGGCCGGGAGTGGGGAGGCCGGGTGGTGGAGATCCCCTGGCTGAGGACTTGGAAAGCGCCCGCCAGCCAGTGAGCCAGCGAGAAAGTCCACATCGGGCTGCGGCTCCGGGCCCAGACCTCGGAGCGCGCCAGAGGTCAGAGCCGCTCCCCGGGGCCGGAGGAGCGATCCTGGAAGGGGCGGCATTGCATCATCCTCCCGCCGAGCCAGCGGCCCTGCCTGTGGGCCCGGAGCCCAGCGCCGCCCGCTGTCACGTCCGCTCCCCGACACCCTGGCCCACACTGCCCCCTCCCGGCAGCCTTCCCCGGCTGTGGAGGGTGTGGCCCTGCCGGCCCCGCTGTGTGTGTGTGTGTGTGAGTGTGTGTGTGTGTGTGTGTGTGTGTGTGTTTGTGCTTCTTTATGAAGAGCTCTATTCTTTGCATGTTTGGCTCTAGGGCGGCATTAAAAAGCGATCATCACGTTGGGAGCAGCTGATGCTGTGTGGCGTGTGCAGAGGGGGTGGTGGTGGGTGGTGTGCAGAGGCGTGGTGCAGGGCGGGGTGGGGCATGTTGGGGGAGAAGGGGGTAGGGGATGGTGTGCAGAGGGGGTGGTGTACAGAGGGGGTGGTGGGGGGTGGTGTGCAGAGGGGGTGGTAAGGGGTGGTGTGCAGAGGGGGGGTGGTGTGCAGAGGGGGGGGGTGGGGGATGGTGTGCAGAGGGGATGAGAGGAGGTGGGTGATGGTGTTGGGGGGGGCGGGCGGAGGGAGAGGCAGGCAGGAGGTGGGGGTGAAGCCAGTGATGGGATTTGTAGTTTTAAGAGGAGGGACTGGGAAGCTTTGCAGGGCGGCTGGGGAAGGGTTTCATGGATAAAAGTTTCTGTGTGTGTGTGGGGTGGAGGGTGTGGGAATGGACTGCGGGGCACCAGGTGTGAGCTGGAGCCAATGAGGAGGCCCCTGGAAGGGTATGGGGGGGCGGAGGGTGTCCCTTGCCCCCTGGAGGGCGCCACAGGGCTGGGGGGGGGCAGGGTGGCCTCCAGGAGCCGCCCATGGACAGAGACCTCATTGAGATGAGAAGCAGGGGGAGGGCCATGACTTCCTGGACTCTGGCGTTGGTGGTGTTGGGGAGACGAAGGAGAAGGGAAGGAGGTCCGGGCGGTAACAGACACCCAGAGCGAAGGGTTTTCCAAAAGCTCTTGATTCTCCTTGTCCCAAGTGCAGGCCACAGGGGGACCCCGCGAAGGGCGTGGGCGTGGAGGGAGCCCAGCATCCTCCACGTCGCGTCTCTGCGCAGCTGCCTGACCTTCCTTCCTGCTCCCAGCGATGGCTCCTCTCACCCCCCCCCCCCCCGCCTAAATCCCCTAGATGGGGGCCTCCTGAGCTGAAGTTGCCTGTTCATGCCACTCTTTAAAATATATATATATTTTGGAGAGGGAAAGAGAGAGAGAAACATCAATGATGAGAGAGAACCATGGATTGCCTGCCTCCTGCACGCCCCACCCTGGGGATCAAGTTCACAACCCGGGCATGTACCCCCACTGGGAATTGAACCCATGACCTCCTGGTTCATGGGTCAGTGCTCAGCCATGGAGCCCCGCCAGCCGGGCTGTCCGCGCTTCTCTTGCTCACACCGCTCTGTGTACTATGTATGGCATCACTTGCAGCTTAATCTATCCGCTTGTCCATCTTCCCTCCGATTGCCCGCTCCTGGGAGCGGAGGCCACTGCTTTCTGCACTCCGCCCTGCTGGGGCCGTGGTGCCCAGCAGGCTGTGAAATCTGCTCCCAGGTTCCTCAGACACCCGGCACCATGGACACATCAAAAGTGCCGGTCAAACCCGAGCCGGCTGCTCAGTGGTTAGAGCGCCAACCTGCGGACTGAAGGATCTAGGGCTCGACTTTGGTCAAGAGCATGTTCCTCGGTTGCCGGCTTGCTCCCCCGGGGTGTGTGTGGGAAGCAACCAATCAATGTGTCACACATCAATGTTTCTCTCTGTCTCTCCCCCTCCCTTCCACTCTCTTTATAAATCAACGGAAAAATATCCTCAGGTGAGGATTAACAGCGTCAACAAGAAGTGTCAGTCAGTAACTAGAGATTAATCTCCCTGAAGGCTCTTTTGCCACAGAGGAGAGAGGTGTCTGATTCTCTTCTTTGCAGGAAAGCTGACTGGACAGGGGCTCAGGGAACGGGAGCAAGTTCGAGGGGCACTGGAGTGAGAGCCAGAGCGCCCACACCCAGCGACCTCAGTGACTCTGCCCCCTCACCCTCCCAACCCCCAACCCCAGTTCCTGGGCAGAGATGGCTGTGAGCAAGACTATCAGGAATGCAGTTTGCCTGCTAGGCTCTGCAAGTGAAGCCTGGACAGAGGGGGTCCTAATAACGGGGACAGATAAAGGGTCTAGAAAATAAACCAACCATTGCTTTGTTTTTTTCTGTTTCTGCCCCCTTTAGACAATAGCTGGACTAATAATTTTATGTGCCAAATACAAAACGAGGAAAGAAAATGGGTCCGTCACGCCTCAAAGTCACTCCCAGGACCCCGGGTCCCCAATCGAGGCAAGTCCATTCCTCCTCCGGCCTTTGTCTCCTAAGTTTTACAGGAATCTGCTTCCTCAGGGGCGGGCCATTGTCCTGCGCTGCGTGTGAGTTGAGGGCTCTGACGCAGGGCCACCCGTTCCTAACAGCTCCCCAGGGCTCCGTCAAAATGTCCACCATTTCTCTTTCGGAAGCAGAACTCTTGGAAAGCCCCATCTTTGCGTGTAGGCATGTTCGGATCCCATTATCACCTCGCCCAAGAGCAGAATCCCAAAGGGACGGTGGGATCAGAACAGCTAATTTCACCCCTGGATGGCTGGGGTTGGCGGGTCAGCCTGGGATTAGCTGCCACCCAGTTCAGATCCCCCTATCCCTGTAGGTCAAGGCTGAGCAGGGCCCTGGTGCATGTCCAGGCGGCAGCCGGGAGAGAGCGTGCAGGAGGCAGTGCTGTTGCCTGTAACTAGCCCGCAGGTGGACCGGAAGCGGGGCCCACCGGAAGCGGGGCCCACCGGAAGCGGGGCCCACCGGAAGCGGGGCCCACCGGAAGCGGGGCCCACCGGAAGCGGGGCCCACCGGAAGCGGGGCCCACCGGAAGCGGGGCCCCGTGTATCTGCTGATTTTGATTTGCTCTGGCTACCCTCACCCCTCCGAGAGGCGGGCTTGCGCACTGTCGTCGGGAAAGAAAAGGCACAGAGAGGAGATGCTGTGTTTTATGGGGGGAGCCAGGCCCGGCTGGTGGAGGGAGCGAACGAGGAGCCGGGAGCAGCTGGAGATCCAGTGGTTGGAGGTCTTCAGCTTCTAAATCCTAAGCACACCGTGGGCTTTTTTAATATTTTGTCCTAAAACAAAGAAACAAACAGCCCATTGTCTAAGAGGGCTCGGATCTCTACGTTAAACCAAGACCATGAGACAGGAGACATGGAGATTTCATTGTCAACTAAGGTTCCCTGCTGTGGGAGGAGGTGGGCTCCTAAGGGCTTTGATGAGTCTCAGGAGGCTGGTGACCTCAGGTGAAATGACTGTGCCTGCCCGCCATCCTCACACCCCCCCCCCCCTCCCCATCTGCACTGTGACTCCCCTCTCTGGATGAGGAAAGGGCCCAAACAATGCAGCGAGGGACTTGGGGAACCCACCACCCAGCCGCGGGCGGAGGAAGCGCCTACCATGCCCCTCCTGATGCTGTCCTGGTCCTGCTGGGGGAGGCTGTCCACCAGCCCCTTTATCTTGCTCGCCACATCTCTCATGTCTGCGTCAGGGCTGAAAAGTTCCACCGAGACCTCGTGACTGGAAAACAAGCTCACGAAGAAGGTTTTCACGATGAAGTCCAAGCAGCTCTCCGCCGAATCAGCAACACTATCCCAAGATGGCAGCGCCCTGGCAGGGTCTGCCTGCGAGGCGAATGCCGGGCCTGTCAGCGAGAGATAGCAGCCTTTCGTCAGCGTCAGCGGCCTGGACGTGAGAATTGGTGGCGCTCCAAGCACTGGCTCTTGGGTGTGCGGATCTTCCTGGGTGGCAGCCAGCTTTTTGTGGCTTGCCGGGGCCTTCCTTGCACTTCCTGGGGGGTAGGAGGTTGTGGGGGGAGGGGAACAACATGCCACCCGTTCTTTCTGTGAGGTCTCTGGGCAGAGTATTGATCTTAGAAGCTCGGACCTGATTTTCGGTGCAGTGTGGGGGCTGGGAAGAGACCACTGAGGGTGTCTGGCTGTTGTCCAGCAGACACATGTCTCTTGTCAGAGGTTAGACAGTCTCAGCTGCTTGTCACTGGGGCATTTGGCAAAGTCAGGCGGACCTGGCCCAGTAGGTGGCACGGTGAGCACTGGGCCCTGGGGGATGCTCACCCACAGACAGATGAACACGCTTCTTGTGTCTGTGCCCCGCCCTGCCGTGTCCCCTTCACCTGGGGGCTCTCAGGCTGTGCTCCCTTTCCAGGTCCCTGCCCCCAGGGACAGGGGCGTCACATTTCCTGTTCCCTGCAGGCCCAGATCCTCGTCCTTGAAGTCTCTCTCATGTGGAGGTCTGGCTTTTCTGCCTGGACTCCTGGGTCCCAGCTCCAACCAACCTTCTCCAGAACTGGGTGCCATGCTTTGCAACTGACTGTGTCCTTAGGCAAGTTGCCATATCATTCTGCAGCTCAGTTTTCTCATCTGTGAAATGGGAATAACCCCTACTCCATAAGGTCGTTGTAAGGATGAAGCGATAGTGTGTGAAGGGGTTCAGAACAGTGAGGGGCAGGCGGGAAGTGAAGAAAGGCAGGGGGTTGTTGCTGTCATTGCTAGACGAGCACACAGGCATGAAACGCATCCAGACCGCGCCCCCATCCCCCACCCCCCATCACAGTCTCCTTTCAGTCCTGTCCGGCGGAGTCACCCTCTGCCCACAGCTCTGAGACCCTCTAGCTAATGTGCACACTGCTCACACATGTCATTTCTCCTGAGACAAATCCTCACACAGTAGCTGTCCCCACTGCCTCTTGTTTTGTCCCCTCCGCCATCCTCTAGGGCACATGTGTCAAACACAAGGCCCGCAGGCCAAATCCGTCCCGCCAGGCCTTGCAATGTGGCTCGCACCGCGCTGTCATCACTGCACTCCGCTGCGTTTCCATCACAATGACAGTTTATGACTGTTCAGTAAACCATTCGGCCCGCGATTTAGGCTGGATTTTAGATTTTGGCCCCTTCTCTGATTGAGTTCGACACCCCTAGGGGTCATAAAAGCTAGTGCCCTGGATATCACGAAAATAGCAAAGTGAACTAACTGGAATGTGTTCAAAGTGTGTGTGTGTGTGTGTGTGTGTGTGTTTACTGAAAGGAGTAGGAAGGCAAGTACAGAGTAAAAAGCAGGTAACAAATTCCAAGAGAGAGGAAGGTTTGGAGGGGGGTGTGGCCCCCTTTCTCCTCCCCTGCCCCTCTCTCCCTTTACTATTAATATCAGTATCACCTGCAGCTACCCAGACTCCTCACCCTTTCTTCAGCGGACAAAAATGTTAGAAAACAGCCGGGACCGGTTTGGCTCAATGGATAGAGCGTCGGCTTGGGGACCCGGGGGTCCCGGGTTCGATCCCGGTCAAGGGCATGTACCTTGGTTGCGGGCACATCCCCAGTAGGGGGTGTGCAGGAGGCAGCTGATCGATGACTCTCTCATCGATGTTTCTAACTCTCTATCTCTGTCCCTTCCTCTCTGTATAAAAATCAATAAAATATATATATATTTATTTATTTAAAAATGTTAGAAAACGCCACGCTGGTTTGTTAGTTTCTTAAAAGGAAGGGCCCTTTCTAGAAGATTCCTTTCTGCCCAGAATGGGCGATCCCGCTTTGGCTTGGGTTTCTTTTGGGGACACGAGGCTCTGCAGCTCCTTCCAGGCCCCGTGGCTGCCAGAATTGGGCGGAGACCCCTAACCTGGAGGCTGCCCCAAGGCCTCTTGGGGTCTGTCCGAGCCTGGGCTGGCGAGCTGGCTGTCCCTCTCTCCGTGGAGTCCGTTCCCCGGAGTTCTGAGGGCGGTGGAGGCGGAAGGTGAGATGCGTGCCATTTCCCTCGTGGCCTCAGGCCTCTTCCCAAGTCTCCGAGGCGGCGGGCGCCAGACCCCACTCCTGGCTGGGGGCAGCCTCCCCAGGCTCCCAGCAGCCGAGCAGCGGGCAGGCACATGCCCGTCCCCAGCAGGACTAGGTGGCAGGGAGCGTTCCCCGGTCCAGCGTGGGGGACAGGCGCTGGGCACTCACCAGGGCGGCAGAGAGCCAGGGTGGCCAGGGCAAGGGTGACGGCCAGCTTCATGGTGGCGGCAGGCTGGAGGGAGGCTTGGCTGTCACTGACTCCGTAGTCTCGTGTGCAGGGTGACCGTCCATCAGGTGCCTTCTTATGTCCCTCTCCGCAGGGGGGGGGGGGCAGGGGGGAGGGCAGGGCTTGGGCTCCACTCGGGGGCCACACTGTTTATCTGGGCACTGGCTTGGTGGAAAAAGCAAACATTCTCTTTTCTCAGCAGTTTCTGACCCCATTGAAACTGAGCTCACACGTGAGTCACTTGGTGGTGGGGGTGGGGGTGGGGGGAAGAGGGGGTGGGGGGAGCCCAGCGTCCCACGTGGGGCAGTAAGGGGACCCAAGTCACAGGCCGCCTGGGCCTCTCTCCTCCAACCTGAGCACAGGGCAGTCCAGCCACCAGAAGCAACGGTAGGGCCCCCTGGACCCGTCACCCCAGGGGAAACTGAGGCTCCAGCCCTCACAGGTGGCAGTGGGGGAACTGGGCCGGGCAGCGCGGTGGGCAGGCTCCGGGAGGGCCTGCGGGAGTGTGCGGGGGGGGGGGGGGGAAGGGGGGCAGGGGGGAAAGGGGGAAGGGGGGAGGGGGGAGGGGGGAGCAGGACTCCAGCCTCCAGCAGAGGCCCAGGCAGCACCGGCTGCAGCGCCCGCTCCACGGGGCCTTTCCCCACCGATCCTGGGAGGCCTGCCCACCTGGTGGCCGGGTCCAGGGCCCCTTCGGGCCTTATCTCGCTTGCTCTCTCCGTGGCCTTGACCCTCTCAGCATTTCCTTCTTGAAGTGTTTGCCTCCTTCGTTCCCACGCCGCGGCCCTTCCCGGCCTCCTCCCTGCGCTTTAGTGTGGATTCTGCACGGGCATGCCGCGCCCCCGGCCTGGTGCCAGGGTTTGCCTGTGGCCCCTTTTCTGGATGTTTCCATCTCTCTCCCTCTCTGTGTCCTGGGGCTGCGCCTTCCCTCCCCCCCCCCCCCCTCACCACCCCAGCCCGGAGCACCCGCCAGCCTGGTCAGAGTCAACTCTTAAACGGCTGCCCACCTCCTCGCTCACCTCCTCAGCTGTCACCAGAGATCTTTCTGCAGCCCACTGGCCATGTCATCACCTTCTTTAAAAAAAACTCACACTTTAAAAAAATATATATATCTATATATATATTATTGATTTTTTACAGAGAGGAAGAGAGAGAGATAGAGAGCTAGAAACGTCGATGAGAGAGAAACATTGACCAGCTGCCTCTTGCACACCCCCTATCGGCGATGTGCCCCCAACCAAGGTACATGCCCCCGACCGGAATCGAACCCGGGACCTTTCAGTCCGCAGGCCGCCGCTCCACCACTGAGCCAAACTGGTTTCGGCAAAACTCACACTTTTATTGATCTCAGAGAGGAAGTGAGAGGGAGAGAGATGGAAACATCCATGATGCCAGAGAACCATTGATCGGCCGCTCCTGCACGCCCCCTATGGGAGATGGGGCCCGCAACCTGGGCATGTGCCCTTGGCCAGAACCCAACCGGGACCTCCTGGCTGATGTTCAACCACTGAGCCAGGCCTGCTGGGCTCATCATTGATGCTTCTATCTCTTCCTTTCTGGAAGTAATAAAAATATATTTTAAAACAAACAAACAAACAAACTAACACAAAACAAGGCAGCACGGTGAGAGCAGCGGGAGGAGTGCAGGAAGGTGCGGTGGGAGGCGGGGCCTGGCTGCTGCAGGGCACAGCGGAGGGATGGGCGGAGGGAGGAGGCGGCCTGTGGAGGGGGAGAGGCCGGGGGTCTGGAAGCCGGGCTGGGTTTGGCTGTAAGGCCTGTGGCCCGCCCAGGCCGGAGGTGGATGTGCTCCCAGAGGGCAGGTGGTGGGCGACGCTCAGTGCCCAGGAGCCTGCCGGGGCCACGCAGAGCTCGATGGCAGTGAGAGCAGCAGCCCAGCCTTCGCTGCCAGCGGCGTTACTCAGGCAGACATCCCTCTGGCACAGTGCGCGGCCATCCTCAGGAGCAGGAAGCTGGGGTGCAGGGCTTGTGGCAAGTCCTGGCGCGGCCCGGAAAACAGGTCGGATGCCATGGGTGGGCCGTGCTGATCCTACCTATCCGGCTGGGTGCCTGGGGGACTGGAAGGTCAATTCGGGGGGAACTGTGTCCTTCCCCCCCCCCCCCCCCCCGCCCCATCCCCCTGGGCCCTGGCTCCGTGCTGGCTCAGGAAGCAGCCGTGAGCAGAGCCTTGTTCTCCCAGAGGCCCGGCGACCGCTGCTGCCCAGCGTTTGGTCCGGAGGCCGCACGTTCGCCACGTCCCTGTCGGCTCCACACGTGAAAGAGAAGCTCACCGTCGTCTGAGTGGAAATCTGTCTAGGTAACAGTAGTCAGCCAGCTCCCTGCACTCGGCTCGGCTCGGCTCGGCCGTGTGCGATCCAGAGATGCGATGGAGATCAGCCAGCGGCTCAGCCCTCCTGAGGCCGCGGCCCTTTAATACATCCCCCATGTGGTGACCCCAGCCATAACATTATTTTCCTTGCTCCTTCATAGCTGTGGTTTTGCTACTGTTAATGAACCGTAATGTACATATCTGTGTTTTCCGATGGTCTTAGGCGACCCCTGGGACAGGGTCATTCGAATCCCAAAGGGGTCGTGACCCGCAGGCTGAGAACCGCTAGCAGGGTCACCTAAGACCCTCGGAAAACACAGACATTCACGTTACCATTCATAACAGCAGCAAAATCACAGCTATGAAGGAGCAAGGAAAATAATTGTATGGCTGGGGGTCACCGCCACATGGGGAGCTGCGCTAAAGGGCCGGGCACTGGGAAGGCTGGAACCACTGGGAAGGCTGGAACCACTGGGAAGGCTGGAACCACTGGCTTAGGCCACAGGAACCGAGTGCGCAGTCTGTTCCTGTGGCAGAATTGCTGCCTTTATCCGAGCCTCTTGCAAAGTTTATAGCCCAATTGATACTCACTGTGAGCGGTATGCTTTGATGTGTTTGCGATGACGGGGTGGAAACATCAAAACGCAGAGGGCCCCACCCTGTCCCCGTGCCGCCGTGGCCTCAGCTGGAGGGACCGGGAGGAGCCTGCTCCTCGCTGGCCTCAGAGGCCTCAGAGGGCGCCCCCCGGAGGGGTCAGAGGACGAGGCAGGTGATGCCACTACGGTCAGCAGCATTCGCGTCCACACGGCTCCAGACCTCGCTTCTCCCTCCCCGTGCTGCGCCTCGGACAGCTTTCACACGCTGACGCTTAGACACACTTGCTCTCGCCACGCCCCAGGATGTCCCTTTGCGGAGGCCACGTATTTCAGCCGCCCGTCCCCGACCCAGGACACCTGCGTCCTTCTAGACACAAGCCACCCTGGGACCTACACGCCTCCTCCGCCCTGGGGTTTCTTACTGGGGGAGGAGGGGGTGGTGAGGTGGGCTTAGAAGCCGAAGCCCATCTGTTCCCATGGCAACCATCACCACCCCGCCCTGGGACACACCTGACCTGGCTTGGGCTGTTTCCGGGGTTTCAGGGAGGGTTGGGGTGCACCTCCTCGGCCTGTGGGGGTCTGAGCGCTTCCTTGGGCTGATGATGAGCTAAAACTGGGGGGTGGGAGGGTGGAGCGGGCTTGGGAGCATGGCCTGCGGGACCAGCAGGTACTCCGTCCCGGGGCGAACGCCCCTCCAGGGGCGGGACGGCGAGTGGGGCGGCCCTGCTCGGCAGGAGGGAGACCGCACATGACACGACTCACTCCTGGTCCTTTTCCAGGAAGCTGGCTCCATGCCCTGCCGTCTCTGCAGGATCCTTGTGCTGTGTGAGTCACAGGTCCTGCCCTGTGCCTGCCCTCTCCACGCCCCGCCTGCCCTTCCCTGCGGCCTGGCAGGGGACTGCCAAGGTCCCCCTGCCCCAGCGCCTCAGGGGGTTGTACGGCCTGCTCTGGGCTGTGGTGGGGACAGGAGCCAACGTGGTCAGCAGACGTGGGTCAGGGCCCAGCTCTGCCGCTGGCCAGCGGGCGGCTCTGCAGGGCTGCAGCTGTCCTGTGCGGAGGGAGAAGGGGTTGGGAGGGGAGAGCAGGCGACCTGGGCTCCTGCTGACTCTGGGAAGCCCTGGCCCTTGGTCCCCCACCCATGGGCTACACTGTCCCCCCTGGGCGCCCCGTCTCAGTCTGCTCCCAGATTTTTCAAACCATCTGGGGACTCTGCCACCTCGCTGAGGCTGGTCTGTCCAGCGGCTTACCCAGCGGGTCTGACGCCTGAAGAGGACCGTTACAACATGTGTTCACTTATCTTAGAAAGAGAGTGAGGGGGCGGTATCGGTGCATGCATCAGTTGATTCTTGTATGTGCCTGACCAGGGATCCAACCCGAAACTTGGGTGTATCGGGTGATACTCGAACCAGCTGAGCTACCGGCCAGGCCGGGAGGGCCTTTCTTAGCACCTCCAGGGGCGGGACAGAGAGGATTCTGGGTAGTAACTGTGAAATGAAAGGAAGACTAAAGGCCGGAAAGCAAACGCAGACAGCGATCCATGTTCATGTATTCACTCAGGTCATTGTCCTTCATTGAAACACACCTGCAGGTGCAGAGAGAGAAAATCGTAACAATATAGAACACCCAGGATGCCTGCATTAGGGCACACAGCACGTTCACACACACACCTGTTGATTCCGTCGTTTATATATTTACCTGATGATGAATTTTGATTCCTGGTGATATTTTATGTGAACACTTGATGTGAGTAGTTATCCAATGAAAACTCACCTGTAAGTGATGCTTTCATCATACCGAACTATCCGTAAAGCAGACAGTTTAATCAACTACTAAATTGTACCGCCACGGCAACGGTTTATTTCTGTGATCTGTTCTTTAGTGCCAAAGCCATCGACAGTTGAAAAAGAATGCATTTCCACTTTAAAGATATCTGATGCAGACGTATTTCATGGACAAAGGAAAGCCTTCACTCCCCAGACGGAAACATTACCGCTCGCACCGTGTCACTCTCTGAAACGTTAAACCCGGGTGACAGCTGAAGTGTGTCCACGCGGGTTCCGTTCCTCCGTCGTTATCGTCCCGGCTTTTGCCCTCTCGCTTTCCCGTTTCTGCCGGAACCAGGGGGGTGGCTCCCGGGAGCTGGAGCCGAGA